GCCCGGGCTGTTGACGACTAGAAATGATAACATCTGAGTATGAGATGATGTATGGGCACTGATCGAAAGACTGTTGGTGCGCCCTACCATCCGTCGTATTGAAACTGTCCGTCTGGGCGATATCTGTGTGGGTGGATGACACGGCAGAGGTTGGTGCGGAAGGAGGTGCATGGCGTCGTGTTGCATGGGCGCAAGATGACTAAAGCTGGCTGGTGAGGGAGGGGAGGGATGGTGGTCACGTGATGTCTGTCACCACAGACAGCAAAGGCGCCCGCCGACCTCAACCCCGTCTCCCACGCACACCGAGGTAACAAGGCAATGAATGGTAGATGCACCACGCTGCCTTTGATCCCCCACACAACGGCATCCACTACCTTACCTACCTACCTAGGTACCGGTAGACCACGCATCAGATCCCGCGATGTCGATCCTCAGCGCCCCGAAGCATGCTTGGCCCGCACGCCCTAGACAAGCAACCGTTGGATCTTGCACCGAGACTTGCATGCTCAGCTCGTGTTGCTGGTCTCGGACCTGACCTGGACCTGGGCTTGGGTATCAAGTTCCTCTGGTGCGTCCCGAAACCATCCTCGTTGGCTACCTCGAGACCTTGAGCTTTTGGCAGACTTCTGCGGCTGCCCCCCTGGCCCTTGGCCTTTGGCTCTTGGCCCCTGGCCCAGCTGTCCCGTCGCCTGAGAATCCGAGTAAAGCAATGCATGAAGCCGAAGCTGGCGACCTCAAGGAGACGCTCCAACCTCTTGGGGCTCACAATGCAGGACTTGGCTGGACAGGGCCTCTGTGGTCGTTTTTCGCCGTCTGAACTATGGGAAACGGGCATCTACGTCTTCTCGTGCCGAACAGCATCACTGTCTGATGTCAGACATCTTTGTTGGATGCTGGCAGATGCCAATTTAGGAAACCACCGTGCCACACAGTCACAGGGCCCTCGGTTATCTACTGTCCCTAACGTCGCTCCTGGTCGACCTGGCCCACCGAATTAACCTGGCTTACCCGGCCCCCCTGAAACACGACCACCCGCATCCTTGTGTCTGATCCATTCCCCGGTCTGGCAGAACATGCTTGCTTTATCACAAGACCCATGCACAGCCTTGAGCCAGCCTTGGGCCAGCTGGTCCGTTTCTCATGCCTATCTTGGTGCGTCTATCTGGAGTAGGTCCTCGCCAACCCTATCACGAAGCGCAGCCTAGGCCTTGCTGCGCGGCAAATGAGCAGCCGGCCAGGGATGCCCCGTCCTTAAAGAGCACCTTGCGAGGACTGGACTCGAATCACATCGCGCATCAACATTGCGCCTAGTTGGAATGGCTGGTGCGCATCCTTTTTGGTCAACCGCGTGCGAACATTTTCCGTACCTGGTAGCCGTGTTCTTGGGCTTTCTTCCTAAAGCGGGTGCGCTCACGGCCATCCAATAACTCATAGCACCCTGCCTCCGTCTCCCACACCACGCGCCCTAGGTATACGGTCCCCAGTCGGGCGGGAACAGGCGATCCCAAGCTCAGGCCAGCTGTGTGTCCTGACACAGCGGGATGTCATCCAAGCCCTCCTTGGTTATGAAAACATGATCCCCCGCTCCTTAGCTCCCTCTCTTGCCCACGGAACAGTTGAACGAACTCAGCTCCATGCAACCTTGTCCTTTTGTTCAACATTGCTCGGCAAATCTTACATAGGCGACGTACCTCTGGGTTCCTCTTGGTTCCTTCGACCCAGGCAGACGGCAGAAATTGTGCTGGAAATATTCGGCTCTGCTCCAAGAGCCTTCTTGCCCAACCTCTCTTCACGTTCTCCCAGCTCGACGCTCGAGACACTTTAATGGTCCGTCATCATTACTTTTGAAAAGACCTGAACACCTCCCCCTTACCAACTACTAGGTCGTCGAGCCGTCAAAGCTGCACGTACTCCATTGCATCTCGGAACATACAATCACCATGGTCTTCTGTGCCTACTGTGGTAAGAGCTTTACCAGAAAAGAACATCTGGAAAGGCATATACCAAGTCGTACGTCTCCTCTGCTTAGAACACTCATCCGCTCGAAATCCTGACTCACAGACTCCTAGATACCAACGTTAAGCCCCATCGATGCAGTGCCTGTCAACTATCCTTCGCACGCAGGGATCTTCTCCAGAGACACCATTCTACTTATCACGAAGCGAGAGATCCAATGGAGCCCTTGCCAGGAGGTGTTCCCACGGTAGCCGGCCGTACCCCTATCGCCTGTCAAAACTGTGCCAATGCGAAGACTGGTTGTGACAAGAGAGTGCCTTGCTCGCGGTGCGCCGAGAAGAACTTGCCGTGCGCAGCCAGATTCGCGCGAAGATCGTCCAAGGCAGCTGTTAGGGCTGCCCAAGCCAGCGCCACCTTTCAGCAGCAGCTCATGCCTCCTGGGGTCCAAGGGCCCCAGCCTGTCCATCCCATAACCTTCATGGACATCACGCCGACGTTGAGTAAACAAGCATCGCCGCCACAGCCCCTGACATCCGCTGTACCGCAAACGGATCAGATCATGACAAGCCAGAAATCCTCACCTTCACATTCTCATCGTGGCTCCGTCGACTTCCCATCACCGTCAGCACATGCCGAAGCCCTTGAGGAGTTCATGCAGCTTGACGGTATTGACAATACTGACTTTATGAACCCGAACCCCAACTACCATGACATGATGACCTGGCCCGACTACTCATTGGATTTCGACATGTACGGCAATGCGATGGGTTCTCTTCCTCAAGACTTGTCAATGCCCACCTTTGCAGACTTTAGTGACATTGCTTCAACGTCGGATCCTATGACGACCGCGTCATCGCGGGGCTCGACACACACTCGAAGTACCAGTATCATTTCGGCCGCCGATTTTGAAGCTTCTTTCAGGACCACCGTGGAACCAGTTGTGGAGTCTATAAGCGGCGAAGCCAGCATTGCCGAGTTTGAGGTCGTCGTTGCTGCCGAGAATTCTTGGCCGCTGGCCCGTTGTAATCCGCCTATCTACTCTAGCACATGCCCTCGAACAGCCATTGTTCACCTCGAGTGCCTCGAGAGGAAGTGCAAGGAAGAAGGCACATGGAGTCCACTCGAGAAGTACATCGATACGGTAGACTGGGATTCTTCCGACTTGGCTACCGTCATTCCAATGACCTCGCGCACACGCGACAGGATGCTGGCCATCACCCAGTCCTTCCTCCACAAGGCACTTGACGTCCATCGCGGCGGCATCAGCAAGCAAAACCCGGGCTACTCGAGCCCCAGCGATTTCAGCTTCATCGTCCTTCCGCCTCCCAAGATATTGGAATATTTCCTCCGCAGCTACGTCCGCAGCCTGTCTTACTATTACCCCCTTGTGGTCGCCGGGTGCGTTGACCCTAACGAAATGCTCATCAACAATCAAGCTTCAACGCTTCTCGTGCTTCTCATGATTGCACAGGGCGCCTCTGCTGTCCCGATGGCCGAGGCCAGATATCTTTCCGCAGGTCTTATCGAGACATGCCGCATATCCCTGTTTGACATGATCGAGAAGGACGTCGAGCTGTCGGCGGACCCAGTGGCCTTGCGGTGCGCACTACTTTTCACAACCCTTGGCGCATGGAGCGGCGACAAGTGGCTGATGGACATTGCCATGGGTCAGAGGGGCATGTATCTTTCTGTGAGCATACT